CAGATATGAATACGTACTAAACAAATAAGAAAATAAGTAACTACTTTCATTGAATAAGTAAATAAACAAATAATTACTATAATTAACTAAATACCAGTATTGAAAATTAAGTACATGTAGTATATGAATACTAGTGCCATCCAACTTACGACCGAGCTTGGTTCCGACCAACTGGTCATAAGTCAGAATGGATGCAAGTTGAGCCTTAGAAAATTGTCAAAATACTGGGTAGGACTTAATGTCAAACCTTTGCTACATAAAGTACCTACATAATATCGTATGTTACTTTTACTAAATATTTTACTACTGTATATCAACATGACAGTTATTGTAATGATTGTTTTATTTTTGTATTTAATTTTTACTTTACTTTTTATGCTTTTAGTACTGTATTTTATACTGTAAAGTTTAGGAGAAACACTGTGTACAACACAAACTCCAGTACATACACAAATAACCCGCACATAAAAGAGAGAAGCTTACGACGACGTGTGACTTTGTCAATGGTCCAAATCGGACCGAAACGTCGTCGTAAGCTTCTCTCTTTTATGTGCGGGTTATTTGTGTATCGTTCCAGTCACGGTATTGTGCCTTTTTTGTTATTTACAAACTCCAGTGCAAGATTCAGACTTCCTCTTAGGGGCCATGGTGAAATTTACTGTCCAGGTACTTACATACAGTACAGTTAACACAGTATGATGCTGCTGATAGGGCAGGGTATCTCAGTGATGCTGCCTGAGTGATGTGAGAGGTCTCTTGAGATGGCGCGTTGCTGTGAGTAGCGGTCAACTGTCATACGGAGGTATACATCGGCCTGCCCAGCCCTGCTGCCAGACATACGGTCATAAGTATGAGTGGTCGTACGTCGAGCAGGTTGTAGCTGGATGGTACTAGTACAAGTTACGGACATGCTGCCATCATACTGGGTAATTATCTTTAGATTCAGCTCCAAAGTAATTGATTTTATACCATCGTTAAGTGGAAATATCACAAGTCGAACAATTGTAAGTCAAGGAGCACCTGTACGTGAATAATATGAGAATTTTGAATATGAATTTATATTTCTTCATTTCCTCTAGTTGATGTGAGTTACATTTGATATGCCATGTTTGATTAATAAAGAAAGGAGTTTTTCCTATTCTGGGTTGAATTGAGGATGGAAAATTGGAAGGTTGAAAATGCAAAAGGGTTGTACATAGATGTTTGGAGTTACAAATTTATTAATGGGTATACAGTACAGTATACAGAAATGAATGGTATTGCATGTGAATGATGTGAAGGCTAGCCTGAGAACATAACCCTTTCACTGTCGCTGTCCCCATAATTAAAAACGTGCTAACAGTGTCATTATTTTTCAAAAAGAAAAAAAATTTTTTTTTTTGGAACGGTAGAGAATCTTGTTCTGAAGGTAATGACACAAAAAATGTGAAATTTGATAAATACATATGGAATTATGCAGGCACAAATTTGGCAGACTAAGTGTAATTTATGCATTGGTGATTTTGGCCACTGAGAGTCCAGTGCTTAATTAAACCAAATTTGTAGCTGTTTTGCTAGTATGCCTTCCATTCTGTCTGAGTAGAAGAAACTGCCTATTCAACTATGAGAACAATCCTATAAAATGCATGGGTGTTGGTAATTTCAGTTTAAAAACTAGTCCAAAACAAACACTAGACATTCCTGCCACTAAAGTGTCCTTTCCTCTGTTCATTAATCATGTCCCCAGGCGTCTCCTTTATTACACTTATCCTCCATTATGAATCCATCATCACACAAAAATCCAAGTTTTTAATGTTTCTTGCATAAAATATAACCAAGAATGATTGATCATGGTTTAGGCTGTCCCAATAATTGAAGCAAACCTTGCAAAAATCCATAAAGCAAACTGGGAAGGATGGGAAAATTGCCCAAAAATCGAATATTTCCATTACTATTTGAAGTTAGTTTCATTCCTGAAACTGACCAAAAATTATTTCTATTTCACTTGTATGTCTTCTTTTCTACCAATTGACTCCCAGAAGCAACCAGTAAAAGTATAAAAACCACCCTAGAAAACACCTTAGTTGCTATTTTAAACCAGTCATTATGTTAGAGGTTTGCTTTTCCGACCATGCACACTGCAAGGGGTAGGATTTTTAATATTGTTCACACACTCCACACAGACCCATTCTCATGTGTAGGTCAAAATTTACCACTTGCAGCACATTTGAGAGTGGTGTGCTCAAACCATGGTTCTGCGTGAGCAACGCTGCCATCAATAACATAGATGTATGTACGACACTTTGAAAGGGTTAACCCTTTGACTGTCGAAGGGCCCAATCCTGAAGTTGCTCCTGGTGTCGCAAAATATTCGAAAAAAAAAAAAATTATTTTTTCTTATGAAATGATAGAGAATCTTTTCCCGATTGTAAAGACACCAAAAAAACGAAATTTGATGGAAAACTGACGGAATTACGCTCTCGCGAAGTTAGCGACTTCGGCGATATTTAAAAATCGGCAATTTCGCCCACTTTGAGCCCTATTTTCAGCTAATTCCGTTATTCCAGTCAACCAAACTCATAACTATTTCTTCAGAACTCTATTTTTTCTATCGATTGAGCACAAGAAACTGCCCATTTACCAATTTCAACTACCCAATAACATGGTCAGAAATTTGCAATTTGGCCAATTTCACGAAAATTAAAAAATACGACAATTTCAAAATAAGGTCCAGAATGAACAATACAGACATTCCTGGCTCTAAAATAAGATTTTCTTTGTTCATCAGTCATGTCTCCAGGTCCCTGTGATATTACTCTTGCTTTTTATTTTGAAATTTTATTCAAACAAAAAATAGAAGATTTACTGTTATGCAGACTACTGCAATACTGTAATAATTGTAAAAATTACATCAACCCATTCATGACTGCGTATTAGAATGGCTATTTGGACATTTATTGGACAATGACATCATTTGTTTACTTTTGAACATCGGCAAAAATCAAACATTTCCTGTACTTTGTGCTCCATTTCCAGGTTCTTTTTATAGTAAAATTAATCAAAATCACCTCCATTTCTATAATATAGTTTCCATTCTATCAAATGAGACCATGAAAACGAGAATACAACCACAAATACTATACGAAAATAGACCACAAAGTTGGCATTTTAATTAAAAAAAACGGTCGGAGTTTTTTTTTTCTCATTATGCACTGCGTGCTCCAGGATTTTTTTTATGTGGTGCACACTGACCACACAGACCCATTCTCTCACATGTGGGCCTACTAGCTTTCTCCTGCCTGATTTGAAGCCGCTAGAATTTATGAGTACACGTATATATACGTCAAACACGGTACCTCACAAACGTATATATACGGCCGCGACAGTCAAAGGGTTAAAGGCAAGTCGTCGCGAAATATTTGAATTTGAGAAGTGTTGGTTAGGACTGAAAGCGTGCATAGTTAGAGGTGCATATTAAGCTATATTTGCTTTCTGAAGGTATTATGGCCTATTTGCAGGTTTTTCAGGCAGCAAACTATATTTTTTAAAATTTCTTTCGTTCACTTGCTGAGAGAGGAAAGCCAAAAGTTTGCTTGCAAATGTAGTTTTACTCTTAATAGTGGCCCTTTAACACTGATTTTTGTTGTTACAGAAATTTTCCATAATGTTTCTTCATGAATATGAGGTTTGTGTCTTTTTGAAATGAGTAAATAATTTTTTACTACTAATCTTGCTCTAAATCAGTAAACTGCCATATTGGTTCTGATCGTTACTAAAAGTCTTGGTTTAGTATAAGTTTAGTATGTTGAACTCTCTAAATTTTTATGATGTATGGACTACATATGTATTTGCTTAATTCTTGGTACAGTATAGTTGATCTGCATGATGTTGCAGCTAGCATGTTTGTAGGCTTGAACACTATAATAAGTAAGGACTGTGGGTGTACTGTAAGCCATAGTTTATAGTAGTATGTATATATTGATAGAATGTGTTGGTAGCCAGTCAGTTTGCCTCAATGTTCCTTGAAAAGACTGTCTTAAGAGAAAGACGGGGGGTGTAATCTTTTGTTTTCCACCTTCACCTGCAGCTATCCTTTATTGTATTTAGCACTCTTAAATTCCACATTGTCTTTAGAAACTGCATTTTCCTTTTCCAAGCAATTCATTGTTTCCCTAACAGATTTCACATTATCTGGTTTTGCTTCATGACATTGCTTTCACTCTTTCCAGCATTTGTAAATTTAGTACATATATCAGGAGTTGCTTCATTTAAGAGTGCCCACCCTGTCAAATTCTGTTTCCTTTAATAAACTTGTAAGGTTTCTGTTTGTCTCTTGACACTTGGAGTGTAGAGAATGGTGGCAACCATGATGCTTGGAGAAGATTTTGCATGTTTTCCTGTTTTGAATTCAGGAATAAACACAAAGGTATCCTAGGCATGGCTCACTACTAATACACAATTTTGAGAAGAAATTTTGGACGATATTTTGATCTGTTATAGACCATTGTTGTCATGAATTGATAATAACCCAGGATGGTGCAAAATATTACAGGTTTTTTCTTGAAATTGTGGGTTAGTTGTCGATTGTTCCAGCCGTGGTATTCTAACTTTTATTCTCCTTGGGTATTGTTTTTGTAGCTTTTGTTACTAAAAGTTGAATATCATAATTGTTCTTTTGTAGGTGGTTTCATAAAGTCAAATTATGTAACCATTATTAAACATGTAGATAATTGTGTGTGCATGTTTATGTAATAGTCTTGTATTTCTTTTTCAATGCATGGAGGCTTGGTTGTATTTACAGTTTATATACATGCTAATGTGCTATATAATTTTATCTTTCTGATGAGATATAATATTTTATGATATACTTAAGATACACAGTAATAAGCAGTAATTATAAGTACAGTATGCTGTAATTTGTACAGATTTGTATAGCCCTATAGGTATAATACTTATGTGTATACAGTGTGGTAAAATAGTGGCCCTTAGATGCCAGTTAAATAAAATTTTTTGGTGAGCAGCATCTGGTGCAGTATATGTTTGGGGCCAAAATGGTGATGGGCAGCTAGGAACGGGGGATAAAGAGGACCATCTCTTCCCGGTGAAGGTACTCAATCTCGATACTCCTGCTGTTGCTGTGGCCGCTGGCAGCATCCACTCTGTGGTCCTCACTGGTATGTATTCTTTTTTAAAATTTTTTGTGTACACTTTCAAAAATCCTTTACCAGCCTCTTCAGACAGTAATTGTGATAACTTCTGCTTCAAATCAAATTGCTCTTATCGACGTCTGATGATAGAAATGGATTTTGGGAATTGGGTACATCTTTAGGGTAGGGGAAATGGTAGCTGAAAAAAAAGATTAGAATTCTCTAAAATAAATAATTTATGGTGCTGTATATAGTAGTGGCTCCAGAATTTGTGTAGGATAGAAGAGCCAGGATTACATTACTGCTGAAGTTTACACCATTCCTTGTTGTGGTTATGGACCAGTACATTGCCAAATCCTCGTGTAATTAAAAAAAAATTTAGGAGCATTCAAAACGCTTCCTTGACCTGCAACCCCAACAACACTTGAGGAATTCAGTGAGAGAAATATCAACAGCTTATGGCATGGCAAAATGCCGAAACTTGTAAAAAAAAAAAAAAAAAAAAAAAAAAGGGCCAGATGTAATGGAACTTACAGAGCACTAATGTAGAGAGCCAAGGTACATGTAGTTTAGCTAAATCACTGGATGTCATACTGCATGGACCTTCTTGGCATCTAGTTTCTGCTGACCACCAACTAGATGACAGTTCATTGACATTGTCCAGTATACTGCACCTCTGCTCTAGTGACCCAAGATTAGTCACACTCCTATGATTTCTCACCGTCCTGCTCCACTTCTGGTTAGTGTGACTTTGTCAATGGTCCAAGTCGGACCGAAACGTCGTCGTAAGCTTCTCTCTTTTATGTACGGGTTATTTGTGTATCGTTCCAGTCACGGTATTGTGCCTTTTTTGTTATTTCTCACCTTACTGTTTCCTTCACTTGAAAAAGATCTTAATAAATTGGAACATTGTCCCAGTAAGTGCATGTAAATTGTTTTTTCTTCATGTGTGAGCATGTTAGATAGGAGTGAATGGTTTTTATGATGTGATGTGCTATTAGAATATGAGCAAGCTAACATTTATTAAGGGATTCTGAGAAACCAGTTAGTGGACTTAAGTCCTGGAGATGGGAAGTACGTACAGTGCCTGCATTCTGAAGGCAGGGTGGGGCTGTTGCAATTTGTAGAGATCTATGAATTGCAGTACAGGTGTGCCTCTGGCAAGTCAGTGATGGAGTGAGTGATGGTGGGAGATGGCCAGTTTTTTTTTTTAAGCCTTAATGCATGACCCATCTTTTTCCCTCTTGTTTATTCTGTGGTTCACTTTATCTCTCATAGATCCATCTGCTGACAAGTCCACTCCCAAATATCTGAACACTTATTCACTGTACTTCTTTCATACTCCATCTCCAACATTTTTGTGCACTCTTGCATGTAGTATATTGCTAATGTTCCTCTTTTCATGTGTGCCTAAGGAGACAAGCTAGAATTAATGCATACAAACTACTGTAACCTTTATCATATTCTGTTTCTCACTCTTATGTTACAGTGACTGATATTTCACTCTTGCTCAGTATTTTTCAATGTACTACTGGTAAATGCATACATATTACATGTCTTTCTTTCTTTCAACACACCAGCCGTATCCCACCGAGGCGGGGTGGCCCAAAAGGAAAAACGAAAGTTTCTCCTTTTACATTTAGTAATATATACAGGAGAAGAGGTTACTAGCCCCTTGCTCCCGGCATTTTAGTCGCCTCTTACAACACGCATGGCTTACGGAGGAAGAATTCTGTTCCACTTCCCCATGGAGATAAGAGGAAATAAACAAGAATAAGAACTAGAAAGAAAATAGAAGAAAACCCAGAGGGGTGTGCATATATGTGCTTGTACATGTATGTGTAGTGTGACCTAAGTGTAAGTAGAAGTAGCAAGACGTACCTGAAATCTTGCATGTTCATGAGACAGAAAAAAGGACACCAGCAATCCTACCATCATGTAAAACAATTACAGGCTTTCGTTTTACACTCACTTGGCAGGACGGTAGTACCTCCCTGGGCGGTTGCTGTCTACCAACCTACTACCTATAATATTACATGTACTTTACAATATTATTTTGATATGTCACAGTATTTAAGAAGCTGAACTGAAGCATACCTAGAGCAAGAAGACTCCCAGATTTATTGAAAAGCAATATGATAAGTATAAATAAAGGTTTATGCTCGCTGGAATACAATGTTAAATTCATTAGAGATGATGACTCTCTACACTATTTTCTGCACTGTTATTTTATTGATAAACGGCCATTCAAGGTCGAAAGCCCATCAAGGAGGTGTCTTGATGCCAGTGAAGGGTTCTTTATCCAGGGAGTTGGAGCTACCCTGCCCATCTTCGGATTGAACCTATGACCTTTATGATTCCCTCATGATTATAATGAATATTAATGATAGGATGAAAGCTTGTAATTCTTAGTAAGGGCTGCACACTGGTCCAAGTGCAGTATTGATTATTACATCATGCATTCCTGGGTAATTGTGGTGTGGGGAGTGAACTCCAGTGTCAATATTTCGATCCTGCGGTGAATGGGAAGAAGGGGCGTTGTGATGGGAAGTAGGGCTATGGCAGTGGGAAGAAGGGGCATAGCGATGAGAAGACGGGCATGGCGATGGGAAGAAGGGATGGTATTGTGTGGTAATAGGATATATAGAACACCCTCAGTTTAAAGGACTTAGCAAATATGGAACAAGATATGTTGGGTCAGCTGATTTTGAATCTCTGTACGAAGTGCATTGGTTAAAGAGTTGAGTGTCATGATCCTGGCAAAATTTCTACACTAATCACCATTACCAGTCACTCACTAAACCTTATTAGTCTGCCTGAAATGTCCTGGTATGATGGTGGCTTTCTTTGTTACAAATAAATTGTAAAATGTAATCACACAGTATAACCTTTGCAAAGAAATAAATTGTTTTGTTTAGTTAAATGGACTGTGTGTGGTGTGTGGGGGAGGGGTTGTGTGAGGGAGGGTTGTGTGAGGGGAGGGCTGTGTGTGTGTGTGTGTGTGTGTGTGTGTGTGTGAGTGTGGTGTGTGTGTGTGTGTGTGTGTGTTGTGTGTGTGTGTGTGAGGGTTTGTGTGAGGGGTTTGTGTGAGGGGGTTGTGTGTGTGTGAGGGGGTTGTGTGTGTGTGTGAGGTTTGTGTGAAGGGGTTGTGTGTGTGTGTGTGTGTGTGTGTGTGTGTGTGTGTGTGTGTGTGAGGGGAGTGGTTATGTGTGGTGGTGGTGCCAGGCAAGTATGTGTGAGATGCCAGGTTTAGGGTTGAGCAAGAGTTATGTGGATTACAATTCTGGCTAAGGAATGCAACACTGCATGATAGGACATTATGGATTGGGGTACGCTCAACACACCTTTCTGTCACGTGCACTCTTATTTAGCTTAGTGTTACTGACTCTGAGTACATTTGATAACCTTTCCTCTTAAATGCTGAAGTTCATATATGCTTGTTTTTTACAAATCAAATAATTCTGTCTTGATTATTTGTTTGCAAAAATTATTTTTCAACTGGCATTATTCATTTTTTCATTGTTGTAGCCTGTGTTTTAATAACATAATTTTGAGTGTGTATAAGCATCTTGCAAACTCATTGAATATTACATAAATATTGTTACTGAATTATAAGAGATGTAACATAAGCTTGGCAGGATTATCTGTGTGGATTGTTTTTGATGAAAGAAGTGATGGGTCATAACACTATATTACAGAGTAATAATTGTGGTCAGGCTTGCATTATTTACAGCATGGCTGGTGCAAGTGTTGCTAGTCCATAGGGAATATGATCTGGTGTGTTATCTTAACCTTGATGTATATTGTGTTATACATCTTACGTTTTCATTTCGTATGAGCATTGAGCACCTTACTAAATGCTATAAGTTGGAAAAGCACTACAGACAATAGCACAACTAAAGATTTAAATGCCAGGGTATGACATAGGGAGATGGTGATTTTTAATAATTGGTACTTAGCAACCTTAAGAAATTGCAAGGTGTTAGTAATAGCAGAAAGAAAGGACTGGCTGGAACCATCCAGTCTCATATTGACTTGTGGAGGAGCACCTTGTCCCAGCCATTCTTGTTAAAGCTCTCACCGTGGTGCCAGGGTACTGAACGCTTTTGTCGACTTCCCTGTATTTAGTTTGTTTAATTCTCTCCATTTATGTACAGTATTTGGAGTTCATTTAGCTTGTGTATTAATATTTTATGAGCATGTGGCTAACACAATTAGCTACAAATAATATTTTTTCAATATATTATGGTAGTTAGATAATATTGCTTGAGAGATTGAGAGACTGTTACTGTATTTTACTCCTATATATTGTTGTGGCTATTTGCTACAGTGCTCGCCTATATGTAGCTGCATGGGTCAATTCTCGGCTCTTGGCTCCACCTCTCATCTTGCTGCTTGCCAGATTTATTCCCTCTGAGTCTCTTGGGCCTTATTGCACTGGCCTCTCCCACTTCTTTACCAGGTTCATTCCACTTTACTGTAATTGTGTAAGCTATTTTATTTTGTGGCAGATATTTGAGCCATTGATGATTTATTTGAGTTGATACTGAAGCTATGCAGTATTTACAGGATGTGAGCTTCACATGATTGTTAGGGCAATTGATACCTTGTGTGATTACCTATTTGTAATTGAATGGGTAATAGCAGTGTGGCTGTGTTAAGGTGCAACTTTGAGTGGATGAAGCCCCATCATTGTCATCAGTACTGCTGAACCTTGGGTAAAAATTATTGACATGACCAAACGAAGTATGTAATGCATGGCTTGGCATTTCATGATTGTCAGTTGTTCTAGTAATCATCAGTGCACCCCTCTCCAGCATCCCTATGCTGGAGAAGGGTGCACTGTCCAGCATGCTTACCCCTTCCAATCTCACTCTCACCCATCTCCAAACTCAACCCTTTGTACTCCTTCAGATGCATGTTCTGATAGGCATGTGTTTGCAGCAGTTGTGTGTGTGAAGTGGGTGTGCTGTTATGCATAGGTGTAAAGCAGAATCCTGTATTGTCATGCATAGGACTGTGACTGAATTTTGTGTTTGTACTGCATATTGAATTTGTGCTGTCTTGTATAAGTTTACAATTGTAAATTGTTTGTGTTTTGTCATGCATAGGTCTATAATAATTTCCTTGTAGAAATATTGTAAATCATTAGTGTGAAGACATATACAGTTTTGTTACACATTGTTAATAAGATAGTTACTAGTGAGCATGGGTGTGTGCATGCATGTGTGCATCAGTAACTTACTGATGAACCTCAGTGATGATAGTTTAATATGCGACATGCCAATGAGAAAAGTGGAGTAATTGCAGGTTGAATAAAGTACTGGTGTAGGCAGGGATGCTTCTTAAGAATCTTTGTTATTACAGAGAGTGGAACATTGTACATCTGGGGCAGCAACAGTGAAGGTCAGCTTGGACTCGAAGTTTTGGAACAGTTGACACCTGTGTTTCTCACTTTGCCAGAGCCAGCGATAAATGTTGCCTGTGGATACTACCATAGTGTAGCTGTCACTGGTATTGTGCATTCTTGCTGTATTTTCTTATATGTTACTGAAATAAATATTTATCTATGATCTGTCTTGGGAAAATTCACTTTTATATAACTCAGTGTATTTCTGCAAAATTGTATGCTATATTTAATATATTGTTGTACCTGTTACATTTTTATATTATTTTTCTGTGTATATTTACTACACACCTCAAGAATTCTATTGTAATTATGTCATAATCATATTTTTAACCCTTTCAGGGTCCAAGGCCCAAATCTGGAGTCACGCACCAGTGTCCAAGAATTTAAAAAAAAAAATTTGTTATTTTTTCTTATGAAATCGTAGAGAATCTTTTTGTGAACGTAATAAAACAAAAAGTACGAAAATTTGGTGGAAAATTGACGAAATTATGCTCTCGCGAATTTTGATGTTGTCAGCGATATTTACGAATCGGCGATTTTGCCGACTTTGACTCCATTTAGGCCAATTATATTATCCAATCAACCAAATCTTAGCTATTTCACTAGTATTACTTCTATTCTATCGATTGAGCACAAGAAATCGCCAAGTCAACTGTTTCAACTACAAAATAATGATCGGAAATTGTTAATTTGGCCAATTTAACACAAAGTTCAAAATATTCCAATTTCAAAATAGGGTCCAGAATGAACAATTAGGCATTCCTGGCACTAACTAACATTTCCTCTGTTCATTAGTTATGTTTTGAGGCTTTACAAATAAATTCCATTTTGATTTTTTATTCACACCAAAAAATAGAAGATTTACTGTTATGCAATACTGTAATAATTGTATAAATATCATCACCATATTTGTGAATGTATATTAGACCCACCAGCTGACATGTATTAGACGTGTGAGGTCGTTTGTTTTACTCTTGAATAACGGCAAAATTTTAACATTCTGCTACTTTGAGCTCAGTTTCAAGCCATTCCAGTGCTAAAACCAATCAAAATCATCTCTATTTCTTAATATGCCTTCCATTCTATCAAATGAGACCAAAATCGCAAATACAACTATAAAAAACATACGAAAAAACACTGCAAAGTTGCTGTTTTAATCGAAAAATCATGATTTCATTTTTTTTCTCTCATTATACACAGTGTGCTGCAGGATCTGTTTTATGTGGTGCACACATACCACATAGATGTATTCTCTCATATCTAGGCCCAAATGTACCACTCACAGTTTATCAGAGTGAGCTGACCTCATGGCGTAGATCTACGGTTTGGACCCTGAACGTAAAGCCGTAGATCTACGGGACGGACCCTGAAAGGGTTAAAAAGACTGGAGCGCACTATGACCCATATGCATATAGCATTTAATTTGATAATTAATTAAAAGAATGCTTGTACTGTGTTCACAAGTTAATGATAATGAACCAGTTAGTTTAACCCTTTGACTGTCGCAACCCCCAATCCTGAGGTGTCTCCTGGTGTTGCAAAATTTAAAAAAAAAAAAAAAATATTTTTTCTTATGAAATGATAGAGAATCTTTTCCCGATTGTAATGACACCAAAAAAACGAAATTTGATGGAAAACTGACGGAATTATGCTCTTGCGAAATTAGCGACCTCGGCGCTGTTTACAAATCGGCGATTTCGCCCACTTTGAGCCCTATTTTCGGCTAATTCCATCGTTCCAGTCGCCCAAACTCATAGCTATTTCTTTAGAACTCCATTTTTTCTATTGACTGAGTACAAGAAACTCCCCATTTACCGATGTCAACTACCTAATAATGTGGTCAGAAATTTGCAATTTGGCCAATTTTACGAAAACTAAAAAATATGACAATTTCAAAATAAGGTCCAGAATGAACAATGCAGACATTCCTGGCTCTAAAATAACATTTTCTTTGCTCATCAGTCATGTCTCCAAGCCCCTCTGATATTACTCTTGCTTTCTATTTTGAATTTTTATTCAAACAAAAAATAGAAGACTTACTATTATGCAGACTACTGCAAAACTGTAATAATTGTATAAATAACATCAACCCATTCATGACTGCATATTAGAATGGCTAGTTGGACATTTATTGGACAATGGCATCATTTGTTTACTTTTGAACATTGGCAAAAATCAAACATTTCCCCTACTTTGAGCTCCATTTCTAGGTTCTTTTTATAGTAAAATCAATCAAAATCACCTCTATTTCTATAATATGTTTTCCATTCTATCAAATGAGACCAAGAAAACAAGAATACAATAATAAATACTATACGAAAATAGACCACAAAGTCGGCATTTTAATTAAAAAAATCGGTCGGAGTTTTTTTTTTCTCATTATGCACTGCGTGCTCCAGGATTTTTTTTATATGGTGCACACTGATCACACAGACCCATTCTCTCACATGTGGGCCTACCAGCTTTCTCCTGCTTGATTTGAAGCCGCTAGAATTTATGAGTATATATACGTCAAACACGGTACCTCGTAAGACGTATATATACGGCCACGACAGTCAAAGGGTTAATGCAGCTTACTGCTATGTAGCTGACTGTATACACTATGAAAATAAAACACCTGGCATTACAATACACTTAATGCTACGTAATGCTTTGTGATTACATGATTTGATGCTGCATTCTTGTTTGTATATCATCCGAAGAGGCAGTCTACTTGTATCACAAGTTTCCAAAAACCCATAGTTAAGTTATACATCTGGTAGATACATACTTTGCCGACTTGTACCTTAGACTAGCTTAAAAAAATCTTTCTACAATTGCTACCTGGGCTAGGGCCAGGCCTTTCTGCTAATTCCCTGTTCAACTAGGCTCTCAGGATAATTTCTCAGTGAATGTCTGATGCATCTTGTTTTTGTCTCAGTTATTTCTCAGTGATCAATAAATTTACTTAACTTCCCTTATGTAAGCCATTTTTACATTCTCTGTGCATGGATTTGATTCTGTACTTCAGTTAGGTAGTGCTCAGAGTATTTTTGTGTTTGGGATTGTTATATATCTGATTAGTTTCTCATTGTTCATGAAGATCAAGTCAAGTCTGTTTTCGTTTCTAGTAGGTTCTGTTATCTGTTGGTTCAAAGCAAACTTCTGACATGGCCCCAGTAGCTCTGTGGTATGTATCTGTTGGAATAACATACATCCAGGTACTGTTTCTGGGAAATGCTGTTATCTATCATCTTAAATTTAACATGTGGTATGTTGAAATCTCTGATGATGAAAATAGGTGTAGAATTTTCAAGGCACTAGAGGCAACTATTTATCATTGTACACCTCATGTGGTACCTCTGAAGTATCTTCATCAGTCCTCGTGGATTTTATTCACGATTGTAAAGAAAACTTCATTAGTGTTTAGTTGTGAAATGTGTTAGATGAGTTAATTGTTTATCTTTCTTTGGAAATAACAGTGCCTTATTATGATTGTATTTACTCTTGCCAGAATCTGGGAAAGTTTATTCGTGGGGTGAAAGTGAATATGGAAAGCTGGGGTTGCCAGCAAACCTACTACCCTCTCACCACCTCCCTCAGTTAGTTCCACTCCCAGAAAAGATTATTCAAGTTGCTGCAGGAAGTGCACACACACTCTTCCTGTCTGGTGAGAATTACCCAAGTACTCCTGTATGCTGGTGCTACTAGGTATAATGTTTAACAGCTTCATTATGCACCCTATACCCATCCTGTTGGCAGTAGTCAGGATTGCAGAGGCACATAATGGGTCTAGGGATTATGAATTTTTTTTTCATGTGCACATTACAAACTAATGCAATATATTTGAAATTTGTGATCCTAACCCTAATGGCTTTTAATAGAATAGTTAAAACCAAAGACTAGTTTGTGAGTTTTCAAATTTATTAGGAGTTAGTATTTCTGAGTCTGGGTTTGTTTTTGCAGAGTGGTGTGCATTATGGCTTTGCTTTTTTTATTTTTATTCAGAATTTTTTTTAAGTTGTGCTGTTAGGTTATTCATATTTTGCTTTTGTTCAAAATTACAATTGTTTGACATCCTTCTATTCACATTTATGTAGTTAATGATATTTAATCTCTTAACCATGTGTGTTTGCTTTCTCCACTGGCACAGTCTGTTGAACACCGACATCTATGTCCACTGTTAGAGAGGTATGTGAGCATTGTTGAGTAAGTCTGTATGTTTTACTTATATTGTGTGTGCTTTTGTTAATCGGCTAGAGTGCCACTTGTAGTCATAAAATGAATTAGCTGAATTAATCTTCAGTCGCCTTGTAATGGGTTCTGTACACTGCTAATCCAGTCCTTCACTTTGGAAATTGTTTCAGTTGAGCATCTTCTGATCATAAGTATCTCATTGCTACTAGACTTTGACCTCATGCTATCTTGTTTTATGCACTAAACATTTCGAAACATTTAAAACCTAGTGATAAGTTCCCCAACTTGTACTTTGCTGCCTCGAGACCTGATATCTACCATTTTAAGAATTGGAGCATTAGGGACATGGTATAATAGTTTTCCTTAGCTATGCTGCATGACACTTTTATTGTACATTTGTAATGGTATGATGCAAATATACTGAAAGATTTATGGTGCTGTTTAAAAAGTAAATTAAAAAAAAGAAGTGTCGACTTCAAAGTGAAAATGGGGCTATTGATATTATCTTGAAAACAACTTGGTTAACAGTGGTACATCAAGCTACTAACACCATGATTGTAATAAGAATTACAAGTATAGGAAGGAAATTGCTTTCAATGAAGATACTCGTTCAGTATTTCTAATGTATTTACTAATTTTTAATCAAGTATAAAATCTTCGGCAAGTTTTATAATCTTGAGAAACTCCTGACTAAATCAACATCCCACCTCTCCTCTCTCATGATAGTTCATTTTTATATAATTTATTATCAACAGTTATTGCCAACCATAAGAGACAAATTTTATCAGCAGTTTTTGACACCAGATATTTTTTACTGTAATTATAGAATTGGACTAGTGCTGAATGACCTTTGTGTATGAGATGCTCTCCATGACTGTAAGTTAGATCAACATATTAGCTGAGAATGTGTGGTATGTTGCTTATTGTTATGTTGAATGCTTTATTGCATGTCACTGTAATCAACTTTTTATATTGCTTAAACTGCTTCATGATTTTTTTCCATATTTCATGTGCATTTTCCCTGTAGGTATATGTTTAAAGTTATTTTCATTGACTAACCTATTTATTGTGATTTGCATATGTTCTAGAGTCATACAGTGGACCCCTGCCATATGATATATGGACTGAAGGACTAGTGTTTATTTTTTTAACATGGCCGTCTTCCACTGCGGCAGGGCGATTCGAAAAATGTGTTAGATCACATTTCCTCATACAAGCCTATGATATAAGTTGATATGTGGACTTGATTGATAATAGTCCATGTACGTACTGCAAATGATAACTTGACTTAGCACACTTCTACCTCTCTTCATATGCTGAAGACAAGGTTTCACATGATAGTTCAGCCATCTTGCAATCGAAGTATTTGCTTACATTAAGTAATAAGAATGTTGTGTGAAAAATAATGAAAATTGACCCAGAAAAAATTTGCTACTGTATAGATTTCCAGTGAGAAAAAAAGGAAGAAATTAAGATGAACTTAAAAAGAATAATATGAATGCCCACAGTTTAAGATTTTGGAAATATGGGGCAAAATCCATTGGGTCATTTGAATTGGAAATGGTGGATGAAATTCTTTGGTTACAAAATTGTCCTTTGTTATGATCAGGGTAAAACAATCTCTATCCACCATGTTGTCCATTATTTGCCACCTGCTCCTCATGATAAGTTGGTTAAATAGAGGGTTGACTGTATTGTCAGACCTTGAACACAGATAAAAGTTGCAGTAAAAGGTTTTTTAGGGGGAAAAAATTTTTCAGTGTAAAACTTTAAAGTCACTTTGAAACGTAATTTCCCTATTTTGAAGGTTGAAAAAAGAAATTTCTAAAAACATTGTTAATTTCCTGAAGAAAAATGTTTTAGTTTAAAGTAAATATATAATTATTTTATGGTCAATGTCAAATTAAATTAAAATATTGTCATAGGGGGGTGGAACAGTATTTGTGGGGGCTGGGGGGAAAAGTGGAGAGCTTGGGCAAGGTGGCGGCAGCTTAGAGTTTTTGGCTACCACAATCGGTGGCGAGACAAACCCCACCCCCATTGTGACCATATTTGCTGGTGAAAATCATCTTCTGCTTTTACAGGAAAATGCCTTATTAGCTTTTAAATTTTACTATTATCTCTAGATTTGTATTAGTTTTTACATATTGTACCTAAATTATCTAATTTTTTTAATTTTTTTTTTTTTAAAGCAGCAGATGTTTCCCTCCTAAAAAGGTGGGCCCCGAAAAGGGAAAACTTTTAAAATTTTTTTTTTTACATTTTGTAATTTTGTAATTTTTTACAGGGAGAGGGGTTGCTAGTCCCTTCTCCCCGCATTTTTTTGTTTTTCCCCTTTAAGACATGCATAAAATTTAAAGGGGGGAAGGATTCTTCGCACTTCCCTGTGGATTATTTTTTTTTTAATCCTATACAGTGGAACCGCGGATTTCATCCTGCAAATATCGTACAATTCGGATTTGACCACTTTTTTTTTGGGGGAAATCTTACCCCGATTTCGTATTTCGCAGGAAAAACTCCGTAAAACCCGAAAACTCCCGCCTTTGGCTGCTCATTGTTTTGTGATACTAATTTTTTTTTTTTTTTTAAAAAGTCGGATTTTTCCCACTGAGGAGGGTAACCTAAAGAAAAAATCCCAAAAGAAGATAAGTGGAAAAACCAAGATATTAATCCTTCCTGGAGAGCTCTCGTTACGAAATTATGTTAGAGAGTTAATTTTTTCCCCCCAAGAAATATGGAAATCAAATTAAAACGTTTTTGAAAACCCCCAAAGTATTTAAAAAAAAAAAAAAAATTTTTCCACATGAAAAAAATTTAATTTTTAATACAACCCGAAGAAAACATGTACAATTACATAACTTACCTTTATTTAAGACTGGTGTGATTGTAGGGAAGGAGGGGAGAGTGTGGAAAGGTTTTTTTTAGAAGGGGGGAAACCCTTTCCATTAGGACTTGGTGGGGCAAAATCCTTTTTTCCGGGGTTACTTCCCTTCTTTTAAAGCCACTAGGGCCAGCTTGAGAGTCCTGGACCTCTGTCGCACAACATATCTGTCCAAAAAGCTCTGTACCTCCTTTTTTTCCCTTTTACGATTTGTCAAAAAGGGGCCACAACGTTGTCTTGTTTATTCACCAGCACGGCTTGCATACTGTTTAGGGTGATTTTCACCCAAAAAGGGTTTTGCATTTAAACCCCATTTTTTGACATTTTTCCTTTAAATTTTTAAATAGGCACAATGGATTCCACAATGGCATAGGCATTCGGGGTTACCCCAAACCCTTTCAAAAATCTTTCTTAATTTCCAACTAATTCCACCCTTTATCCAGGGATGGCACTAAAGTTTCTTGGGGTCCATCGTGACTATTTTGCAGGTGCAATCACTAAAAACGTTTGGATAAAGAAATTTTTCCGATTGATTTTGGATGCAGCGCAGTGGCGGGCTTGTAAACACTGAAGGCCACATGTGGACCTTCAAAAGGGAACAAATGGTGTTGGTTGAGTTTTTTAGCGTAGTCAGGAAAAAATTTTGCGTTAAAAATGTATCGTAGTCGGATTTAAGTTATAAAAATGCCATCTTTTTTCGAGGGTCCATGTACTTTCATCATCATTCAACACTTCACCTCACACAAAAAATCATTTTTTTGGGAGAGGTGCCCAGAATACAACAGTTTAGAATATATCTTAAAAAAATAAAACAACATATCACCCAGACTGCCAATACCCAAATCCCTCCTTTTAAAATGAGGCATTGTACTTCCCCCTTCCAGGACTGAGTCCGGGGTATATAAAATAAACCGGGTTTTCCCTGAATTCCCCTTCAAAAAATATTTCCTTGCTACAAACTCCAACGCCATTTAGGTCCCAAAAAACCTTTTTTCCTCCATTCACTCCTATCTAACACGCTCATGCACGCTTGCTGGAAATCCCAAGCCCCTCATCCACAAAACCTCCTTTAACCTCCTCCCTCTAACCCTAATTTTTTTTTTTTTTTCAACAAGTCTGCCGTCTCCCACCGAAGCAGGGTGACCCAAAGAGAAAGAAAATCCCCAAAAAGAAAATACTTTCATCATCATTCAACACTTTCACCTCACTCACACATAATCACTGTTTTTGCAGAGGTGCCCAGAATACAACAGTTTAGAAGTATATGTGTATAAAAATACACAATATATCTCTCCAAACTGCCAACCCTAATATGTAATAATAATCACTCTTGGGCACATTAAATGTCTTATTTTAGGTTAATATAGACATTTTCATTAATCCATCTATATTTTCTTCAAAAATATACAAGAAACACGTTACCTAGCATATAAACTTGTTGTTATTACTCGTTTACTAAGAGTGTCCCTCTAGTCTTAATGCCATAGTAATAATACTAATACGTAATAATAATCACTCTTGTGCGCATTGAATGTCTTATTTTAGTTTGATAAAGACTTTTTCGTTAATCCATCTATACGATATTTTCTTCAAAATTATATAAGAAACACGTTACATAGCATATAAACATGTAGTGCTGTGGAGGTGTGCTAGCCAGGCAGAGGGAAAACATAATGTTTTCTCTGGTCCAGCATCAAAGAAAATGTGTATGAAATCTGCGGTGGCCCAGTCACCACCCTTTAAAAACGTAATGCTTTTTCTTTTCAATTCTTGGCATGAATTGTTCATTTTTCTCTCCTTTTGTTTATGATGGCATCTAAAGATAGTTGTTAGAAACGATTAAAGTTAGTGAATATGGTATGTCATTGGTAATATGGCTCTGGGCCGCATTAAATATCATGTCGCTAGGATGTGGAAGAGTTGGTGGAGAATTATCACCCTAACAAAGCTGTTGCAAGCCGTGTCTGCGTGGACCAGTGACTCTCAAGCTGGTCCTAGTGCCAGTAAAAGACAAAGAAGGGAAGTAACCCCAGATAGGGCTTTGATACCTGAAGTCCTTATGGACAGGGATTTCCCTTCCAGACAATAACCTCGCCTCCCTCTCCCCTCCCCGCCATCTTCCATATGCCAATAAGTCTCTTCAGTAAAGGTAAAAGTGATTTAAATGTTCATTTGTAAATTAAAATTAGTCATTTATACATGTATTTATTTCTCATTGTTTTCTGTATGTAAAACTAGTTATTCTCTATAAAATGCTATATTTTTTGGTTGGAGGGAGGGGGTAAAGGAGGTTTTGTGGGCGAGGGGCTTGGACTTTCAGCAAGCGTGCATGAGCGTGTTAGATAGGAGTGAATGGAGAAGAATGGTATTTGGGACCTGACGAGCTGTTGGAGTGTGAGCAGGGTAATATTTAGTGAAGGGATTCAGGGAAACCGGTTATTTTATATTGCTGGACTTGAGTCCTGGAAATGGGAAGTACAATGCCTGCACTTTAAAGGAGGGGTTTGGGATATTGGCAGTTTGGAGGGATATGTTGTGTATCTTTATACGTATATGTTTCTAAACTGTTGTATTCTGAGCACCTCTCCAAAAACAGTGATTACATGTGAGCGAGGTAAAAATGTTGAATGATGATGAAAGTATTTTGCTCTTGGGGATTTTCTTTCTTTTTTGGGTCACTCTGCCTCGGTGGGAGACGGCCGACTTGTTAACCCTTTGACTGTCGAAGGGCCCAATCCTGAAGTTGCTCCTGGTGTCGCAAAATATTCGAAAAAAAAAAAAATTATTTTTTCTTACGAAATGATAGAGAATCTTTTCCCGATTGTAAAGACACCAAAAAAAACGAAATTTGATGGAAAACTGACGGAATTACGCTCTCGTGAAGTTAGCGACTTCGGCGATATTTAAAAATCGGCAATTTCGCCCCTTTGAGCCCTATTTTCGGCTAATTCCCGTTATTCCAGTCAACCAAACTCATAACTATTTCTTCAGAACTATTTTTTCTATCGATTGAGCACAAGAAACTGCCCATTTAACCGATTTCAACTACCCAATAACATGGTCAGAAATTTGCAATTTGGCCAATTTCACGAAAATTAAAAAATACGACAATTTCAAAATAAGGTCCAGATGAACAATGCAGACATTCCTGGCTCTAAAATAAGATTTTCTTTGTTCATCAGTCATGTCTCCAGGTCCCTGTGATATTACTCTTGCTTTTTATTTTGAAATTTTATTCAAACAAAAAATAGAAGATTTACTGTTATGCAGACTACTGCAATACTGTAATAATTGTAAAAATTACATCAACCCATTCATGACTGCGTATTAGAATGGCTATTTGGACATTTATTGGACAATGACATCATTTGTTTTACTTTTGAACATCGGCAAAAATCAAACATTTCCTGTACTTTGTGCTCCATTTCCAGGTTCTTTTTATAGTAAAATTAATCAAAATCACCTCCTTTCTATAATATAGTTTCCATCTATCAAATGAGACCATGAAAACGAGAATACAACCACAAATACTATACGAAAATAGACCACAAAGTCGGCATTTTAATTAAAAAAAACGGTCGGAGTTTTTTTTTTCTCATTATGCACTGCGTGCTCCAGGATTTTTTTTATGTGGTGCACACTGACCACACAGACCCATTCTCTCACATGTGGGCCTACTAGCTTTCTCCTGCCTGATTTGAAGCCGCTAGAATTTATGAGTATATATACGTCAAACACGGTACCTCACAAACGTATATATACGGCCGCGACAGTCAAAGGGTTTAAAAAAAAAAAAAAAAAAAAAAAAAAAATGGGTGTCTGGAATGGATTAATTGGATTTACATTATTTCTTATGCGAAATGTTACTATGGTTTTCATCCATTTTGGATTTCGACTGACCTGGAACGGATAATGGACGAAAACTAGGGTTCCACTGTATATATAGTTAGTCTTTTATTATACTCTTTTTTATGCTGGTAGGAAACTGTTGATATGCAGGGAAGGAATAGAAGGAAGATGGAGGAGAGGAAGTCTTCAAAATGCCAATACATTTGGTAAAAATGAGCAAAATTATCATAATTGCAGAGTAGTGCTCATAAGTCATTAATTCCAAAGTACCAGTGTCATTATGAAATTGTCATTCTCAATAAAATAGATTTCATATTTTCAACCAACCCATACAATCTATCATTGATCTTTTACTAGAGTAATATTTACATCAAGGCACATTTGTAAGTCATTATGGTATTAGTATTTATAATGCATTTTTTTTGTTCCTAATTTTGAGCATTTTTTAATTTTTTTTTTTATAAGTACTAATTAGTGATATGTATTCGCATTTTTTAAGGCAAAAAATTTTGTTCCTAATATAATTTGTATTTCCTGCACTAAAAGAGATGTTTATTACAGAGGACGGGTATCTTTTGACCTGGGGTTGTGGTCGTCATGGTAAACTGTGTCAGGGAGAGGAAAATTTTTCCTCTCAGTTTCTTCCAGTAATTGTTCGCAGATTACGTCACATAACAGTCATTTTGGTAAGCAACTTCTTATTTGTGAATTTTCACTTCCTCAGATGTAATAACAGAGGCAAAAATATTTATACATGTAGTTTTCAAATCAAAGCATTATATGTTGTTTTTTAGGACAGTAATTCCCCCATATCACATGGGGGATATGTCCCAAGACCTACTGCAAACATCTGAAACCTATATACAGTAGGGCCCCACTTATACGCGGGTTAGGTTCCAGGCTGTCGCCGAAAGCAGACATCGCCGGAAGGCAGAACTCCATTTCTTTCCATTTATAAATGCATATGAGGTGAATCATAGATTGATGAGGGAAAAGGGCGAGTGTGCACTAGGAGTCTGTGGAGATAAAGAACTTTGTCCTTGAGGCAAAGAGGGGAATGTATGAGAGTATAGTTTTATTACCAACACTCTTATATGGGTGTGAAGCATGGGTGATGAATGTTGCAGCGAGGAGAAGGCTGGAGGCAGTGGAGATGTCATGTCTGAGGGCAATGTTGGTGTGAATATAATGCAGAGAATTCGTAGTTTGGAAGTTAGGAGGAGGTGCGGGATTACCAAAACTGTTGTTCCAGAGGGCTGAGGAAGGTTGTTGAGGTGGTTCGGACATGTAGAGAGAATGGAGCGAAACAGAATGACTTCAAGAGTGTATCAGTCTGTAGTGGAAGGAAGGCGGGTAGGGGTCGGCCTAGGAAAGGTTGGAGGGAGGGGGTAAAGGAGGTTTTGTGTGCGAGGGGCTTGGACTTCCAGCAGGCATGCGTGAGCGTGTTTGATAGGAGTGAAATGGAGACTAATGGTTTTTAAATACTTGACGTGCTGTTGGAGTGTGAGCAAGGTAACATTTATGAAGGGGTTCAGGGAAACCGGCAGGCCGGACTTGAGTCCTGGAGATGGGAAGTACAGTGTCTGCACTCTGAAGGAGGGGTGTTAATGTTGCAGTTTAAAAGCTGTAGTGTAAAGCACCCTTCTGGCAAGACAGTGATGGAGTGAATGATGGTGAAAGTTTTTCTTTTTCGGGCCACCCTGCCTTGGTGGGAATCGGCCAGTGTGATAATAAAAAAATAAATGCATATAAATGCCAGACAACAAGTTTACACTAAATTACATTAAGTTAGTAATAGAACTAGGCATTAAAAACACACAAAGTAAAATACAGTCACAGTAAATTCATTACTTTAAGTATTTGTATTATTAATGTAGGGAGAGAGGTGAGTAGTACTTATTTGTATGAAGTCAGGTGCAGGTAGCCAAGGTGTAGGTAGCACTGGCTCCCCGTCTCATACTTAATTTACAATATTTAAAACATCCCAGAGAGGTAAAATGGACGTACAGTACACTCATTATTTACCTTAAAATATGTGTAGTCTTAATATAGGAAGAGAGGTGAGTAGTATTTATTTGTATAAAGTCAGTGTAGGTAGCCAGTAGGTGTAGCCTGGGCTACACCTATCAGCTACCTACACCTATCGGCTACCTACACTGTGGTCCAGAGCCATATTATTAACATCGACATGCCTTGTTCACTGAATTTAATCATTTCTAACAACTGTACCTTTAGATGCCATCATAAACGAAGGTAGAAGTAATGAATATTTCATGCCGAAAATTGTAAACAAAAGCGGAGTGGGGGAGTGGCTGGGCCAAACGCAGATTCATACACGTTTTCTCTGAGAGCTGAACAGAGAAAACGTAATGTTGTCCCTCCACCCGGCTCCACAAGTATTATTATCAGAGCATATAAAATATGCAATAAATGCCAGACAACAAGTTTACACTAACTTATATTAAGTTAGCAATAGAAATAGGCATTAAAAACACAATAAAAGGTAAGATACACACAGAGTACACTTATTACTTACCTTAAAATATTAATATTAATGTGTGAGAGGTGAGTGGCAGGGTGTTTATTGAATAAAATCAGAATGGCACACCATCATCCTCTAACTTGGCACTTAAAGCAAGAGGCTTACGACTTCTCTTTTTATTACAGCTAACCTTAGACGCCATCGTCAATGAGAGCCAACTAGTTAACGAAAGAGTAAACGAGAGAGTGAACGAGATAAAGAGTTGAGACAATGTAAGAACACAAACAGAACAGGTAGTGGACGATCACTTGATCAGGCGAAATAAATACGTATTAATATGTGTGTACTTTTAGTTCATTCATCTCCATTTGTAAGAGTCTGTAAAACATTTACCTCAATATTTTTTTATTTTAATAATAATTACCTCACAATACAAATACTCTTACATTGTGTACAAGTTGTACAAGTTAGTTCAGATAAACAAACAGCAACACACTATTTTTAGAGTGAATGAAAATAATAATAATAATATTATTATTATTATTAATAATTATTATTATTATTATTATTATTTATTATAAAAAGCACTAAACCCACAAGGGTCGTGAATTGCTATACATAGAGGAAAGGCATATGAAAAGAATATTTTTCTACAGTTACCCCCCAGTGTTTGACTAGAGAAAACGTAATTCTTCCGACACTATCTACACAGCTGCTTTGTAAGAAAATCTCATATTTACATCAATTTTTATTCTGAGTGTATGTATCATGTTTATATGCTATGTAATGGGTTTCATATATAATTTTGAGGAAAATATCATAGATGGATTAATGAAAATGCCTATATTGATGTAAAATAAGACATTTAGTGTGCCCAAGAGTGATTATTATTACGTAGTATTGGCGTCATGAGTAGAGACTTGGCGATTTTAATGTGTACCTGCACACCAACACTGTAAGTATATTTAGGTACAGGCACACATAAGTATAATTATCAGAGTACATATAAAATACACAGTAACTTTAAAACACTTGAAATTTTGGAAAGTTTCCTGACATAATAGATGTGGTCACGGAAAATGTAAACAAACCGGGTGGGGGATGCCGTATTTAAAAGACCGCTTGCCGTATAGCAAATTTTGGTCATAATTTGACATCGCTGTATTAGCGGAACGCCGTAAGGCAAAACGCCGTAAAGCGGGGCCTTACTGTATAAGTTGTTTTTCATATACATACGTTCAGCTGGAGGCTGGTGTTGGGAGGTAAAGGATGTTGAGTGTTAGAGGGGTATAGGGATTGAGGCTGGAAGCAAGGTGGTGGTGTGATGGTGGCAGTGTGGATGATGGGTGACTGAATGGATAAGTGTGCAGTTAGTGTGGGCAGTAATTAGGGTGGTTGGTGGCTACATGACTAGGAGTGTAGATAGCATGTTAGTGTGTGTGGGCCGTGAAAACATGGGTAAGGTGTGGGAGTGGGGCTGTCGGGGTTAGAAGCTGTGGAGGAGTGGTGAGTGAAAGCAAGAATAAGGTTTGGGGCTGTGTGAGCTTGAAACTGTGGGGAAGTGGTGTGGGTGAGAGATGTGCTTGTCAGTGGCCTGGTGGGGGTGGTGATTGGGTGATGAGTGACTGGGTGGACGATTGTGCAGTTGGTGTATTGAGAGTGGGGGTAACTAAGTCATTAGGTGTGTGGGATGGCATGTTAGGGTTAAAGGTTAGGTAAGGTATGTGGGTAGTCACAGGGGGAATGTGGCCATGAGGAAATGGTGGTTGTGAGGAAATGGTATAGGTATAAGTGTGTGTGGCAATGGGGAAATTGTATGGATAGATGTGGTGAGGGTAGATAGTTGGTTGGGATGGTGGGTGAAGGCATATGGCTGTGGAGGAGTCGTGTGGGTGAAGGTTTCTGGTTGGAATGGCGTGTGTGAAGGCATCTCGCTATGGAGGAATTATAGGATGGGAGGTATGGGTGGGAGGGGCAGGAATTAGAGGCATGGTATGGGGGATTTACAGGGCAGGTGGTATTGGTGGGGTTGTGGGCAGGGGTATTGTTGTTGGGTGTACAGCAAGGGTGTGGCCATGGAAGGAGGGGAATATAAGAACATAAGAACATAAGAACGAAGGAACACTGCAGAAGGCCTACTGGCCCATGCGAGGCAGGTCCAAGTCTCCTACCGGCTTAAGCCAATGCACCCAACCTAGTCAGGTCAGGTCACATTGACTTAAGGGAGGAACACGGCAACCGACCTGGTAGCACAAGCTATCAGGTCTAACTCACACCCACCCACATCCACTCATGTATTTATCCAACCTATTTTTAAAGCTACACAACGTTCTGGCCTCTATAACGGTACTTGGGAGTTTGTTCCACTCATCCACAACTCTATTACCAAACCAGTACTTTCCTATATCCTTCCTGAATCTGAATTTTTCCAACTTAAAACCATTGCTGCGAGTCCTGTCTAGGCTAGATATTTTCAGCCACACTATTTACATCCCCTTTATTTATTCCTGTCTTCCATTTATACACCTCAATCATATCCCCCCTAATTCTACGTCTTTCTAAGAGTGCAGATTCAGGGCCCTTATCCTATCCTCATAGGGAAGGTTTCTGATACATGGATCAACTTTGTCATCCTCCTTTGTACATTTTCCAGAGAATTTATATCCATTCTGTAATAAGGTGACCAAAACTGTGCAGCATAATCTAAATAGGCCTAACCAAGGATGTATAGAGTTGAAGAACAACCTGAGGACTCCTATTATTTATGCTTCTTGATATGAAGCCAAGGATTCTATTAGCTTTATTGCGAACACTTATGCACTGTTGTCTTGGTTTCAGATTACTGCTAACCAGAACTCCTAAATCTTTTTCGCAATCCGTAATATTAAGATCTACATTATTTAGTTTATATGTGGCATGATTATTGTCCTGTCCAACATTTAGAACTTTGCATTTGTCTATATTAAACTGCATCTGCCACTTCTCTCGCTCACTTGCATCAGTCTATTCAAATCTTCCTGGAGTGCTCGAATGTCCTCGTCAAATGAATTCGACGGCCTATTTTGGTGTCATCGGCAAACTTGCCGATGTCGCTCTTTATGCCCTCAATCTATGTCGTTATGTAGATTGTGAACAGCAGGGGCCCAACACTGACCCCTGTGGAACACCGCTCGTGACACTTCCCCACTCGATTTCTCCCCATTT